ACCAGCAGCCTGTGAAGAGGCCGGTAAGCCACCAGCCACGTGGCAAGGTATAGATTTATGGCAATGGATTAATTTAAGCTATAAGAACAGTTAGCAAGAAGCCTGCCACGGCCATACAGTTTGTAAGCAATATAAGTCTCTGTGTTTACTTGGTTGGGTCTGAGCGGCTGTGGGACTGGCGGGTGACAAAGATTTGTCCTGACTGTGGACAAGGCAGGAAAACTACATCTACACCCACATATATAAGATAAAACAAATATATCTTTAAAAAAAGAAATACAGTCCCACGCCAGACCTCCTAAACTCGAATCTCTGGGATCCAGGCTTAGGGACCCAAAGCTTTAGGAAGTTTCTGGGAGGTCTAGATGCAGCCACTCACTGGTCAGGACCACCTGGTGTCAGTGATGGCCTGGGCCCCCTTTACACCTGATATGCTTGAATAATTAGCCATAAACTCAAGTGACTAATCTTATATGAGTGTCAGCTGCTGCCATGATTTGCTTGCATTCTGTCTGTCTGTCTGTCTGTCTGGTATCATTCTTGCAGATATATCTGGTAGCCTGTAAGCTGCAACACAGTTATAGATGTAATAATACACCACAAAATTATAGACTTCCTTAAAATATTACGGTGTGTGTGTGTGTGTGTGTGTGTGTGTGTGTGTGTGTGTGTGTAACATGGGGAAGAGTGTCACAGTGGTTATGGATGTGGCCAGAGCTCTGCCTTGCTCTGGACGACAGCCTGGGGGAGCAAGGGATGAAGTCTTACGGCCTCCTCACTGTCACATTCCCATGCTTCATCTTGGGTGCTTGGGTGGTAACACATCATCACTACCTTGCAGTTGACATTCTTGGTTGGTTTTCTTCTTCTTGTGACAAAATGCCATCAAAAGCAATTTAAGGAGAGAAGAGCATATGTTGGCTTTGAGGGGACACAGTCCACCGTGGTGGAAGGCACAGCAGCAGGCACATGAGGCAGCTGATCACACGTGCCCACGGGCAGGAAGCAGAAAGCATCAGGAGCCGGACCCCCATCCAAGAACAGCATCATTCACATTTAAGGAGGACGGTCTCATCTCAGCTAATCTAGTCTAAAACCTCCCTCTCAGATGTGCCCAGAGATGCGTCTCTAAGGTGGATCTAAATGCTGTCAAGTTGCTATCAGTGTTAAACACCACACCCTGGGGTTTACACGGCATGTTCATACACATTGTCACAGGGAGTTATGTGCAGTGGGTTTCTCATTTGCAGGGTGCTGAGGTAGAAAGCCACACTTTAACATCTTTGGCCAGAAGCGCTGATGTCATCTACTCCCCTGTGGCTGACCCTGCTCTTCTCGTCCCCTCACTGGGTTTAGCGAGTGTATTTCTTAAGGCAGCATTTTCTTCCTGCTCCTCTCCGATGCAGAGTTTTGTGTTGAGTTGACAGCAGTAACTAGTGAGCTCATGTAAAAAGCATGATGCCCTTAGGAGAGGGGATTAGGGAAGTTCACCCAGTTGCCCCTCAGTACCCAAGAGGGGGTGGGCCCAGGACCCCTGCAGGCACCAGCACCCAGGGCTGCTCCAGGCCTTCTGTAAAATGGCATTGCATTTACATATGGTCTGTGTAATCCTTTGGTGTACAGTAGTCATCTCTGGCTCGCTTGTCACACCTAACTCAGTGGAAGTGCTCTGTGATAATTATGACATTGTGCTGTCTCGGGATAACGACAGGGAAAAAGTCTGCATCTACTGAGTACAGTTCTTTTTTTCCTTTTCTTGTAGAGTCAGAGTCTCATTAAGCAGCTCTGGCTGCCCTTGAGCTCACAGACCTGCCTCTTCCTCCTGAGTGCTGGGATTAAGGTAAGTGCCACCATGACCGGCCCAATTATTTGTTTATTTAATAATTTCTTCCTTCCTTCCTTCCTTCCTTCCTTCCTTCCTTCCTTCCTTCCTTCCTTTCTTTCTTTCTTTCTTTCTTTCTTTCTTTCTTTCTTTCTTTCT